CAGAGCTCCACAGAAAGCCGGAACCACCCTCCAGGCCCTATGGGGACCCATTGGAATCTTGCTGCTCTGATGGCCTATTGGGAAGGTCTCGTTCCACACTAAGAGCTTCCTGGTGTTCGTCTTGCAGAACCTGGATAGAAAGCTTGTCACAGTACGCCATGAGCAACTGGCTGCGCTCTGCAGAAATCGGACAGGAGATACAGGAAGCCTGGATCGTGCAGAATGCCGTAGTCTATGTCCTGAACCACAACCACCACCTCCTCATGGCCGGACGGCAGAAGGAGCTCGTGGACGCCTTGACCCAGCTGCTGGGCATCGTCAAGGCCATAGGCCACAACGGGTGGGTGTGAGTCCTGCAGGAGCTGTGGGGCCAGCCTGTGTCCAGTCTGGGGGCTGCGGGGGCTGTGTGAACCACGCTGGGGTGTCGCACTAGCCATGCACCCTGCAGCCGGTGCCCGCCCACCTGAGCCGCAGGCAGCGCCTGTGCATGGACCTGTGCAGCCTGCAGCTCCCCACCGGCTCCGGGCCCATCTCACTCTGCTCCCAACAAAGCACTGCAGGAAGGGTTTGCCCAAGGTTTGAATCGCTCGGGAAAACAGAGGAAAAGAGTGAATCCATGTGCAAGTCTCAGTCTGGTTTTTGGGGTTGTGGGTGGGTTAACCTCCACATCTGTATTTTTTATCCAGATGGATGTGAACTTGTGAGAGACTAATTCTTCTTTCAGCTAATATTAGAAATTTGAGAACATCGGGTTAGGTCAACGTTTTATCTGACTAAGATGAAATTCTAAGGCTCTCTGTATGTGTTTTTTGTTGGTTTGGTTTTTAGTCTGAACGGTAGCCTTTTAATTTTTTTCTCCAGATACTTAAGTACAAATGTGAGGGAGGGCCAGTGCAGCAATGCAGGCGCATTGTTATTTTAAAATAACGAATATTAAAGCAACAAGTCATTGCCAAGTGGGGCTCACCTCTCCCCGAGGCAAGAGGCCCGAGCGGGGTCCCCTCCTGACAGGGGGGTGCCCGGGGACGTGGGGCTCGGGGGAGCCCAGCAGCCCTCCCTGCGAGCCCTCCTCATGGCTCGGACGCCTGCGAGTGTCTGCTGCAGGCAAAGAGCAGACCCTGGACCTGCTTCTGCACGTGGAGACTGTTCCTGATGCTTCTGGCCGTTCGCATGTTTCAGTCCCACAGTGCTGCCCGTGAGACATATGGGGGTCCATGTCTAAACCCATTCCACCCGGTGGCGAGGTAAAGGCTTGGGCCATTCTTCATGGCCTCTTGGGTGTCAGGCAGCGGGACCGTGGGCAGGTGGCCTTTCTGCCTTGCCCAGTGCCTCACAGGACACTCTTAGGAGTCCAGCATAGGGCACAGATGTCATCTCTCAGTGAGAAGCTGCCCGCTGGACCGTGGGGATGCCCACTGCTCTGCCCACAGCGCTCCCCGCTCCAAGGGCCTGAGGGCGGCGGCATCAGCTCCTCTGCTTCACTCCAGCAGATGACAGTCATATGACACGTGGTCACCAGCCAGCCCTGGTGGCAGCCTTGAGCCTGGCCTGCCTGGCCTGCATCTGGCTGTGCTTCCACGTGCCCACACTTGTTTTCCAGGGACCCCATGATGTTAGTGACACTCTGCAATGCCCTGGCTCGAGGCTTGATCATCAGCAGTATTCCAACCCAGACATCTGAAAAATCGAAAAGACTTGTGCGACCAAATGTGTTTCACACTCCACTGGACTCTGGAGCCACCTCCGAGATCAAAATGGCGGTGGAGGTGCGACACCCGCGCTTCCTGCATGAGGGAGGGTGGGGGGAGGTGATGAGGGACCCCGCGCAGACCTGGGGTCGGGACGCGGAGGCTTCTGATGGGCTTGGGAAGACGTGAGGACCCAGCCTGTCTTTTAGTGGAGGCGACATCAGTGAGAAAACTGGTGACTCCAACCACCGGGAAAGGGCAGGTGGGGGGTCACCCTCCCAGGCTTGGCTCACACCTCTGCTGGTCATTCCAGAGCAGAGGAAGATGTGGACGTAAAACTGGCAGGGGACAGCACTAACAGTAATGGAAAGACAGGCCTGTGTCCCTGAGGACAGAGATACAGCGATCCCAGTGAAGTGTTGACCAGGGAGGGTCAGGTGCCCATGCCACCCGCCCCCCGAGAGGTGGGGCTTGTCATGTTGGTAATCCATCACGAGGGAGAGAGAGTGGTGGCCTTGCTGCTGGATGTCACAGAGCGTTTGATGAGCCATCGCCCATTTTTAGCTCAAAACAACCTTATTCAACCTGGAAGAAAAACATGTTTTTTAATGAGTTTAAGGGAATCTGCCAAAAGCCCCAGCAGAGCCCCTGAGCGCGGACCTGTGGGACGCACTCGGGGTGAGGACAGGAGCAGAGAAGCCTGTGCAGTGAGGCGGGAGGCAGGGAAGGCGCACGGCACAGCGCGGTGGGAAGCCCACCCTGTGCGCTTGCAGCCGGCCGGTCTGCAAGCAGCGCTGAGGTCGGGGCCCGGGTGGAGGAGGCACTGACCCGGGCGGGGGCTCCACTCCCGGCTGAAGGGGAGGGCGGGGGTGTGACTCGTCGTGAGGGGCGCAGGCAGGTCAGCATGGGCCGGCCCGGGGAGGTGGGCGGTGGCCAGGCCGTGCAGGCTGCAGGGCCACTTCAGGGTTTAAGTCTCCATTGCAGAAGGGACAAAGGGACAGCGCTAGGGTCCTGCAGAGAACAGGAGCGAGGGGGTGAGGAAGGACAGGGGCTGCTGTGGGAGGAGCTTCCCTCCTGGATGTGATGGTGGCTGGGTCCAGGCAGTGGCAGGAAGAGCGTGAGCTGACAGTCCCCAAGGATGTACAGAGCGCCACCGTCAGAGCACAGCAGAGCTCAGCAAGGCACAGCTTCCACAGGAAGGGGACGTGGCACACGGCGGTGCTCAGGGCAGGTGCCAGTCCTTTGGAAATGTCCTGCCAGAACGGGACGTCTGCGCAGTCCCACCTGGGCGCCGGTGTAGAGGGGTGGACTTGTCCCCGGATTAATCTACGGAATCAGTGCAGCCCACGCAAACACATTCCGATGGGACATTCTGTGGAACTCGACAAGATTGTCTGAAAGTTTATCTAGAGGGCAGGATGGAGGGAGCGGGTAGGGAGGACAGTGTGCAGGTTTCTGTAGTGCTGAGATGCTCTGCACGGAGCAGGGACTCACGTGCTTCCGTGGGGCAAAAGCCAGCGAGAGATTGTCCCAAGGTCGGCTAAAGGTCATTCTTAGTGGCCACAGTTTAATGCACTGGGCTGGGCTCTGAACAGGGACTCACTAATCTTCACGGTAACCCATGCACTGGGTTACACTCCCACCTAAGATTTGGAAACTGAGGCTCAGAATTAAGAACCTGCCCTCCCTCCTCACACCGCTGTCAAGGAGGAGCTGGGACACAGCCCGGGGCTTCAGGGCACCAGCTTGTGCCCCAGCACCACGTGTAAAACACGTGGCAGGCCTGAGCCCCCAGTTTGGGGCTTCCAGTCCTCACCGTCAATGCCCCCCAGAACCAACAGCCCTGGCAGGGGGAGGGGCACTGGCTCAGCTGCCTGGCCCTCACTGGTGGCACCTGTGGTGACAGTTGTGTGTGCACATGAGGTGGTGACAATTTGGGGAGCACAAGGGCATGAGGAGCACCGTGGGCTCGCCATTGCCATGGCGACTGCTTCCCGGTGTGGCTGCGCGTTGAGCTGGGTGTGTGTCAGCTGGGGTGAGGGCTGCTGAGTGTAAACCACCTTTATGGTCTGGACCCAGGGCTGGCGCCGTTCATTTTTAATGATTTGGGTCTTGGCTCAAGTCCCCCTGTTTAGCATTCAGGTTAACGAGCGAGGACATGTTCACTTCAGGTCTGCGAGTTTGCTCTGAGCCTGACCAGCGGGAGCGTGCCCGAGGTGGCGGTCCCCAGCAGCGCGCGGCAGCAGCTCATCGCCACCTGGGTGAAGGGCAAGCAGCTGCTGCAGCAGCAGATCGGGCCGAGGCTGGGCACCGATGAGCAGGTGCGTGTCACGGGGGCTTGGCGGCCAGGATCCCCCCACCCGGGGCCACTTAGCCGAAGTCTGCATTACGGCTTTAGGAGCCGCGAGCCGCGGGAGGGAGCATCTCCTGTCAGGGAAGGTTGGGGGCTTCTCTTTCCACTGAGGCTGCTGCCGGTGGCCCTCCGGAGACAGTCGCGAGGCCTCCTCTGCGTGCCCAGGCTGCAGGGCCCAAGAGGCACTGTGAGACAGCCCTGATTGAGGGGACTGCCACATCAGGGAGGAGCCCAGCCCAGGGCCCTACAGAGGAGGGGCGCAAGGAGGTGGAGCCCGGTGAGGGACCCCCAGGCAGAGAGGCAGACACAGGGCCCTGCTCCTCCTGTACGCAGTCCCCTCTGGGCTGCCACTGCTCCAGAGCCCACCTGCCTTCACCTCTGGCTGGGTCACCGTGGCTATTGGGTGGCAGCACCTTACATACTTGAGGGCGGTGTGGCCTTGCGTCTTTTCATTCTGTGAGAAGACAATGTGGAGGTGACATTTGCAAAAATAGCCTAAGGTACAAATACTCCATATTTTGTGATCTGATTATTGCCATAAAAGTAATATTTCACAGAGTTAATTCGTGAGCGTTGCAGGCTCTCCACAGCCTGCCCTTCCTAGTGCCCTCGACTGACAGATGCTCAAAGCTTCCTTCCCGCCAGGGCAGCAACGAGGACATCAATGCAGTGACCAGAGTGCTTGTGGCTTTGGAGATGTACTCGTGCAACGGGCTGGGCCTCATGGACTTCACTGTCCCCTCCCTGGCCCAGGTGGGTGTCACTGGGGCTCCTGGGGGTGTGTCAGGAGCTGTGTGCAGAGAAAGACCCCAGCCCGAGAGAGACGAAGAAGCTGGGGCTCAGCCGGTCCTGCCTGGGCTGCCAGAATTCACAGCCAGGCCACATCCTCACCCCCTGCCCCCTGCAGAGCTGAGTGCTCAGCCTCAGTTGCACATCGGGAGCGTCCCTTGACCCTTTCTCTTCATGGACCCTCTGTCCTGCCCCTCAGCGGCTCCCATGTCTGGGGCTGCACACGCCTCACCCCATGTCTGGAGACAGCCCCTGAGTGGAGTGAGAGCCACATCCTCACTCCTGAAATGCCCTTGGTGTGTGGACGTTGGGGGCACTTACGCTGTTGAGTGCAGAAGCTCGGCTTCTGTGGCACTTACGGTGCGACGGTCCTTACAAATCATGGATCTGTTTGGAATAACATACGCTGAACAATCTGTGTCCACATGAGTGTTAAACCGTGCTTAAGGTTTTAAATTAAATGAGCATGCCCAGCTCACACAGTCACCGTCGTGGGCTGCAGGCTGTCAAAAGTCGTCATCACTCACACGACACCCCTTCTCTTCCTGCTGCTGCCCGGGAAGTTGGTGAAAATGGCTTCTGAGTGCAACTGGTCAGACCCCTTGGTGGAGCTGCAGACCCTGACACGACTGACACACTTCGCCTGCGCGGCCCGGGACCACGAGGTCACCATGGCGTGCTCCCAAAACGCCATTCAGACGGGCATCAAGAGCCTGAAGACATTCGGTCCGTAAGTCACCTCTCCTGTGACGTAGACCAACTCCCCACATGAGCAGGCACGTGAGCACGTCCCATCAGGGCGGACCAGAGTGCAGGAGAGCACACGCGTTGGCTGAGGAGCCACTGGCCTAGTGGTGACAGGGAGGACAGGTTTCCCTGCAGGCCATGTCCGCACATGTAGCCCGTGGGTGGCACAGTCAGCTGTGTTAGGGACTCTGAGGTCTCCTGTGCCTCAGCACGTGGGAGTGTGTGGCCCACTGGCCGTGTATGTGACGGGAACAGAAGGGGGGTGTCTTGGTAAGTTCAGGCTGCTGTGACAAAGTGCCACAGATCGGGGAGACGTAAAGCACAGAGATTTACTGCCCACAGTCCTGGAGGCTGGACGTCCACGGTCAGCGTGGCTGGTGAGGACGTCTCCCTGGCTCACCGACGGCGCCTTCTCGCTGTATCCACATGTGGCGGAAGGGGTGACGCAGCTCTCTGGGGTCCCTATTTACAAGGTCCCTAATCCCACTCGCGAGGGGTCCACTCTCATGACCTCATCACCTCCCAAAGTCCCCACCTCCTAATGCCATCACCCTGGGGGTCAGGAGTTCACCATGTGAAGTTTGGGGGACACAGACATTCAGTCTGTAGCAGAGAGAAAGTGGTTCCCAGGTCAGCAGACTATGTGCCATTCCCAACAGACGTACAGCTCTGTTTAAAGTAACTTCGAGTAGACAATAAATAAACTTGGAAGTAATTAAAGGACACTTTCAGTGAAGGGACATCCCCTGCGGTGTAGCTACCACTTGCTCTCTGGAGGCAGCTGTCCTCCCAGGTCTCCCGGGTGAACAACCTCAAATCCTCAGTCACCAGAGCAGCCACCGAGCATCTCCTCTTTTCCTTATAGTTTCTGTGGTTCTCGTTTTTAATGGCTTGCAGTGTTCTGTTAAGTTGGTCAATAATCATAGTACTTCATCTTCTGCCTACTTTTGGACATGAGGCTGTTTTAAATTGGTTGCTATTACAAATACTTCTGCAGTAAAGATTATTTTCCTTGAGGTGGTTTTCTTCTCTTTGGCTTATCTCCTGAGTGTAATTATCCTGAAAGATGAAATTGCTGATTTTCTGTGGCCGAGGTCCAAGGTGCCCATCCCAGCCCTTCCCCCTCAGCCGTCATGGGCCTTGTGGAGCTTGTGGGGTGCTGACTTTGGGAGGCAGGGTCGTCTGCCTCCCACTTGGTCAGAGTTCCTGCAGGGACAGGGCAGGCAGCATATCCACTTCACTCAAAGTGACAGCTCTGGGGGCTGCGATGAACAGCCCTGGTGAGGATTTGGAGTCAGCAGAGGATGTGACCTGAGACGTCTTCACCATTGTCAGCCCCTACGTGTCCAGGGTCTGCACGTGCTGAGGAGCATGCCGGGGACAGCACGGTGCCNCTTTGGCTTATCTCCTGAGTGTAATTATCCTGAAAGATGAAATTGCTGATTTTCTGTGGCCAAGGTCCAAGGTGCCCATCCCAGCCCTGCCCCCTCAGCCGTCATGGGCCTTGTGGAGCTTGTGGGGTGCTGACTTTGGGAGGCAGGTTCGTCTGCCTCCCACTTGGTCAGAGTTCCTGCAGGGACAGGGCAGGCAGCATATCCACTTCACTCACAGTGACAGCTCTGGGGGCTGCGATGAACAGCCCTGGTGAGGATTTGGAGTCAGCAGAGGATGTGACCTGAGACGTCTTCACCATTGCCAGCCCCTACGTGTCCAGGGTCTGCACGTGCTGAGGAGCATGCCGGGGACAGCACGGTGCCCACTCCCATCTTAGTCTCCGCACACACTGCCCTTCACTCTTCTCAGTGCATGGGCACTGCTGCCCCAGGTCCAGGCGAGGACACCGAGGCAGGCCAAGGCTATCACTCACCTGAGACCAGCCAGCTGGTGAGGGGCGGAGCTGGGAGTGCAGCCCAGGTGTGTGGTTCAAGGTCTCACTTGGCAGGGGAGGCTGTTGTGCCTGGCGAGGCCTGTGCAAGCCACATCTAGTGCCCTGCACGCACCAGGGTGAGGCTGGGGACGAGGGAGCCATGATGGGTCCCAGTCCTGTCCTGCCGTTTCTTGCCACTGACACCAAGGGGCTTTTCATCATGAACAACCCTTCCTCCAAAACAGTACAGACCGGATTTGCTCTTTAGAGTGGTGTTTCTATTTGGCGTTTCTAGGTCAGAGGCTACAGCTTATTTTTCCTCTACAAAAAAAAGCTCACTTGCTTTCTGATGTCCCACCCCAGCCAGCCTTCCTGTGCCACCAGTGGGGCCAAAGGGAGCGTCCACAGCCATGCCACTCAGGTCCCTCAGTCGCCCGATGTGCTGAGACTAGAAGATGGAACAGTCGCTCAGACCACCCGCTGCCTGGCAGTGGGACGTCTGTGCCAGGCAGGGGCCAAAGGTTCTTTCTGCAAGTCTCTGATCTGTGGCATTTGGGGTTCCCCACCTGAGACCAACTCTCCTCAGTCACGGTAAAGCCAGATAAGACAAACCTCCATCTGTGAAGCTCCCCGTCAGCATCGCAGCCACACTCTGCGTGGGAACTGGGACTCCCCAGACTTTTGAGAAGCCCCTTCAGCTTTAAAGAGAAGACCAAGTGAAGGAATAGGAAGATCACTCTGGATGAAGCAGACAAGTAAGGAGCAGAAGAGAACATTAAAAAACAAAAACAAGATACTTACAAGTTAAGACGTAGTGTTATGGGAAGGGACTAATCAGGGACTGAAGATCTCTAGAAAATTAAAAAGATCATTTCTGGAGTTGAAAATAAATTTAATAAAGGGTTAGAAGATAAGGCTGAGGAAATCTCTCAGAAAATAGATGGAAAAGGGCAGACAGAGAAAAAATGTGAGAGAGAAGAAATGTGCAGGATCAGTGCAGGAGGCTGAGCATGCGATGGCAGGCGGGAGAACAAAGACAGCAGTGGAGGGAAACTGAAGACAGAAGTGGTCTGGGAGCACGTCCAGAGTCCAGGACACCACTCGTGACTGACACCACGCCCCACCCCACCCCAAAATGCCAGCAAGAGGGACAAAGAGATGCTCACAGTGCAGACACATCAGATCACCGTCCACTCACAGAGAGAAGTTCCTAACAGTGTTTGAAAGGAAGCCACCTACAAAGAAGCAGGAAGCAGAAATGCAAAAGAAAGCAGAGTGTTCTAGGTGGAAATAATTTTCAAGCTAGAATTCTAACCTACCCGAGCCGTCAGTCAAGCATAAGGTTAAAATAAAGCCATTCTTAGACAGGGACCCAGAAAATGTTACTTCCTGTACACTGTTTTTAGAAAGTTACTTGAGGATGTGGTTCAGAAGAACAAGGGAGTAAACCAAACAAGAGAAAGATATGGGATGCTAGAAATAATAGATTCAATCCAGAAAAGCAGTCGAGAGGTGTCCCAAGGTAGGACGGCTGTGCTGCTTGCTGAGAGGGGCACCTGTCTACACTGGACAGGGTGGAGGAAGACCCTGGGAGGGCAGGAGAGAAGAGGAGCTAATATTGGGAGGAGCTAAAAGTGTTGTGATAAAGGGAAATAGAACAATGATCAAAAAGCCAATTGGGAACTCCAGGAAAAACATTTACATACCTGTGCTGTTTTTGATATCCCGTTTTTATGATTAACGTTTTGACAAAGAAAGAAACATTTTGACAAAGAAATCCTCCATTTTGACAATACAAAAGTAATTCAAGGCATAGACAATCTACTTTAGTAGGAGGACAGAAAGCACAAAACGGAAGAGCACAGGTGTCGCACTCACCTCAGGAGGTGGGTGGTCGGGTGTCACTTGTCAAGGGCCCAAAGGATGAGAAGCTAGTGTAATATTTTCAGGTACAAGGATGATAAATAGGGGAAGTAAGAATACTGCTATTAACTAGCTACACTAGCAGGTTAGAAAAGGCAATGGGATGGTCTGAGGAGGCTAAACTCCCATTTATCAGCGTAAGAATCCTGCAGGTCATCTAAAAATGGATAAATTGAGAAATCAAAGCAGAAGCTAATTTTTAGAGGTAAGTTTCACCTGCTGAAAGACAGAGCCAAAGACTTGGAGTCATTCCCGCTAGTGAACAGGACTGAGAGCAAGGGAGGTTATTCTCAACCTCCTTGATAATTCAAGAATTATTTTTAAAAGAGAGAAAGAAACTGCAAAGACATCTTCATAGAGAGAGTCAGTGCAAGAGCGCCACCGCATAAGGCCTTCTCGTGACCGAGGCGAAATGTATTTTCCTGCTCATTGGGGCACGGGAAAGCCCGTCAGGAGGATGTGGGTGGCGGGGCACAGGCTGTGACAAAGTCTGTGTGTCCTGGCCTTTCCATTCTCTCATCACTGAATCTTAAATTGAGTTTTTAAAACCAATTCTTATAATAAATATACTAAAGATGTAAATACATATGGTCATAGAGAAAGAGAGCAGCCATAGAAGACTAAAAATTTAATTTCTACTCTAGGGTTTTTGACAATCATTTGTAGACCCTGGTTGTCCTCTAGTGGTGACCGGTGTCATTGCACTCGGTAGGACAGCACCGCTACCGTGGGCTGGACTGTGGTTCTGTACGTTCCACCACCCACGTCCAGGGGCCAGCTGTGTCCGGCACGGTACTGGGTTCCGGGAGGCTGGGGGGACACAGAGATGAATCCTTTTTTGCTCAGTGAGAGATGTCACACTTTGTGGTCATCTTGCCGGTCACTGTCAGAGCCCTGGACCCCGTCCTCAGTCAAGCAGGACACACAGGCACATCCATCCAGCCACATGATATGCACCACAATTAACATAAAAGATACTTTTAAAAAAAACCACTCATATTTAAAATTCTGATCCTTTTTTTCCATGTTGAAAGTATGTGTCGAAACTCTAGTATGGAATTTGCCAGAGTAATTCTTGTGACAGTATTTCACAATAATAGAAGAATAGCTTTCAGTTCCTGGTGCAAAACAGTGCAGTTAGTAATCAACTAGTATTCTCAACTGTGAGTGCGTACTTGCCAAAATAGGTTTCATGTTTATACTATTAATGTAAAGGAATATGTATTAATGAGAAAT